CGAAGCGACCGGAGGGAGGCGTCCATGTTGCTACCGGAGCGCGGGTGTGCCGGTGGACCTTGGAGCGCTGACAGGCGACACAGCTGCGGGTCCAGTCGCGCACGTCCTTGCTCAGTCCCGGCCAGACGAAACGGCTGGAGATGAGCTGCTGTGTCGCGCGGGCGCCGGGGTGCGACAGACCGTGCAGCAGCTGGAAGTAGTGCCGTCGGAGGGCAGTTGGGATGAGCGGTCGCGGTGAGCCGGTCGACTCGTCGCAGAGGAGCGAGCTCCCTCCAGCGAGCGGTACGGCGCGCACCTGCAGGCTGTGGGGCGTGTCGAGGTACGCCTTCAGCTCGCCGTCTTCCTGCTGTGCTGCCGCGAGTGCCTCGAAGTCCTGAAGCGGCGGCGTCGGCGACTTCAGCATGCTGACAGTCCGGGACAGTGCGTCGGCCACCACGTTCTCGCTGCCCGGCACGTGACGGACGTCTGTTGAGAACTGGCAGATGAAGTCGAGATGCCTGATCTCCCTGGGCGAGTAGCTGACAGAGCCGGAGCCGATGGCCGACACAAGTGCCTTGTGGTCGGTGAAGATGGTGAAGGGGCGGCCTTCAAGAGAGTGCCGGAAGTGTTTCACCGCCAGGTACACGGCCAGCAGCTCACGGCCGAACGCACTGTAGCGGGTCTCCGGCGGTTTCAGCGTCCTGGAGAAGAATGCCAGCGGGCTCCAGGCTCCGTCGATGTGCTGCTGTAGCACGGCGCCGACCCCGGTGTCCGAGGCGTCAGCCTGCAGACTCAGCGCGGCCCCGGGCGTGGGGTGCGCGAGCTGGGTGGCCTGTGACAGGGCGATTTTGACGCGCTGGAAGGCGTTCTCTGCGTCTGGTGTCCACTCCAGCGGTGCAGCGCGTTTGCGCTTGTGGTCCAGGAGACGGTGCAGCGGACATAGGAGGCTGGCGGCACCCGGCAGGAAACGATGGTAGTGGGTTACCATACCGATGAAGCGGCGTAGCTGGCGCTGCGTGGCGGGCTGCGGAAAGTCCTTCACCGCAGAGACCTTCTCCGGCAGAGGGGCGATGCCGTCCGGTGATACGTCGTGGCCCAGGAACTTGATTCGGCTGGCGCCGAACACGCACTTCTCCGGGTTGACGGTGATGCCGAACCTGTCCAGGCGCTCCAGGACTTGGCGGACGTGGCGGCGGTGTTCCTCGTGGGACGTGCTGGCGACCAGGATGTCGTCGAGGTACACGTAGCAGCACGTCAGGCCGCGCATCACCTCGTCCATGAAGCGCTGGAATGTTTGGCCGGCGTTGCGGAGCCCGAAGCTCATGCGGCACATCTCGAAGAGGCCGAAGGGCGTCACGATCGCCGTCTTCGGAATGTCGGCAGGTTCAACCGGAATCTGATGGTACGCGCGCACGAGGTCTATCTTCGTAAAGACCGTGCAGCCATGCAGATTCGCGGCGAAATCCTGAAGAAACGGTATCGGGTACCGGTCGGGCACAGTTACTTTGTTGAGTGCGCGGTAGTCGCCGCACGGTCGCCACTGTCCGGGTGTTGGTTTCGGCGCCAGGTGCAGCGGCGAGGCCCAGCTGCTTTTGGATGGGCGAGCGACGCCGATCTCCACCATCTTTTCGAACTCGTGTCGAGCGAAGCGGAGCCGGTCCGGCGGCAGGCGGCGGGGGCGCCCGACGCGAGGGGGGCCCCGCGTGACGATATGGTGCGTCACGCCGTGCCGCACGGGTAGGAGCCGGGTGGAGGTAGACGTCACGCGCGGAAATTCGCGCAGCAGGCCACTATAATCACTCTCCGCGCACATCCGGACGCCAACGGAGCTGACGCTAGCGGGAGAGCCGACGACGCACGTTACGCCTTGGTCGGAGCGCAGCACCCGGCGGCGCATGTCGACGGTGAGTCGGTGGAAGGCCAAGAAGTCGGCGCCGAGGATTGGTGTGGAGACATCTGCCACCAGGAATTTCCACTGGAGAGACTGTGCGCCGAGCCGTACGGTGGCGTCGACGGCACCGTGGAGCTGGATGGCGGAGCCATTAGCGGCTTCCAGTCGTGGTGCGTCGCGTTGGGCGGTCACTTGGTCGTCCGGCGTCAGAACACCCGGTGGCAGGACGCTAACCTGGGCGCCGGTGTCGACCAGAAACCTCCAGTTCTTTACCGTGTCGGTAACGTAGAACAGAGGCGCCAGTGGTGGGCCGCCCGTCTTTGCTGGCGCGAGGGCAGACAGGCGAGCTAGTTTCCCTGCCACGAGCAGGGCTGGCGGCACTGGTGGGCGTCAGCGCCGAACCGCTCGTGATACCAGCACAGCCCGTCCGTTGCCGGCGGCTGCCGAGTGTCGGCGCGGGCCGTGCCCGTGCCGGGCGTCGCTGGCCGGCGTGCCGGGCGGGACCTGCTGCGTCGCCGAACGTCTGCGCGGTGGCTCTTGTACGATGCCTCCATCCGCGCGACGGTCGCGGTGAGAGCGGCCACGGCAGCTGTGAGATCCGTCCCTGCCGACTGCTGACAGTTACAGGAGTGGCTGGCCGGCGGAGCGACAGCGGCGGCCGGCGGGGCCACAGCGGCGGCCACCACGGCACCTTGCGACGCCTCCTGGAATCGGTCTGCGGCGCTGGCGAGGTCGTCGATTCCGGTCGATTCTGGCAGGAGGGCCAGGGCAGCGCGCGTGGTCTGCGGCAGGCGCTGGAGGAAGAGCGTCCGCAGGAGGCCGGTGTCATCTCTTGAATTACCCAGCATGTGCTGCATGTTACGCAGCAGCTGGGTGGGCTTCTGGTCGCCTAACTGCTGGTCCCGGAGCAGGGTCTCTAGGCGAGACGCGCGAGACTGCGCCAGCCGAGACCGCAGCGCCGTCACCAGGTCCGTGAAGGACGGCGGCGTGGCCGTCACTACGTCACGTACCTGGGAGGCTACGTGCACCGGTAGGTTCGCTACCAGCAGCTTAAACTTGGTCGCATTGTCGGTGATGTTTGCGACGTCGAATGCGCAGTCTACCTGCACCAGCCAGAGTTCCGCTTCCTCCGGCGAGAAGGCGGGCAGGCGAAACGTTGCGGACGGACGCGAGTCTGCAGTGTCGGGCATGGTGGCGGAGGTGAACGCTCGTCGCGCACTCGCTGTGCAGCCACTGGGGCGCCCGCTGCGCAATCACAGAGCGCTCGCTGCGCTGTCACTGGAGTGCACTCGCTGTGCAACCACTGAGGCGCCCGCTGCGCAATCGCAGAGCGCTCGCTGCGCTGTCACTGTAGCGCACTCGCTGTGCGGTCACTGGTGCGCTCGCGGCGCAATCACTGGCGGGTCTCGCGGGCCCGAGTGCCACACACACACACAGTCAATCCGCCGGGCAATTACGAGCCCATTCTTGCCGAGGCGATGGGAGGCCAGGTTCGGGTAGAACCTATTCTTGCCGAGGCGGAGCTGTCAGAATCTCGTAGGATCACGTCGGGGTCACCATTTGTGGTGTGGTGCCCTCGGAGAGCCGGCGAAGTCTTCAGATGTCGTAGTCGGAGAGGGAGAGGCTTTGGAGAGTCAAACGGGATTCGCCACTGTCATCCCTCGTACTGGGTAGATGTCCCAGCCGGTTGGGCCGTGTCCCCCGTGCACTCTCCTCCACCCCTATGATCGATACCCTCCTCAAGGTGGACGCTGGCCCGTCCCAGTGGTGCCCGTAGGGCTAAACCGCGCCGTAGGAGGTATAGGCGTATATTTAAACGAGTGAGGCTCGTGTCGATCAAAGAGACCAGTTGAACAACGGAACTGAACAGTTTGGCTTTACATTGTTGAGCCACGGAGAACATTGGTAGTAACGGTGAAAGTAAAAGTGACATCTGTGTGTAGCGGCGCAAGTAGAGCTTCGCGGTCTGCCGCCAGGGGCAGACTGAGCAAGCGAGGTGGCGCAGCTGTCGCTACAACGCCACTGTCCTGTCGCGTCAGAGACGGACAGCGCCGACACTCACAGGGTATGCATAGTGGACATGTGACCCCGACTGAGACAACAATCGGGTCGGTCCCGACGCCTGGGCAGCGACGATTGATACGACCGGGATACATTTATGAATTAATAAGCTATGATTTATGTGGAAGTAGGGTGTATGTAGGCATTCGTATATCTCCGAGTTGAAATTCATCACTGCATCGAAATGAATTTGCTTACAATATGACACAGAAAATTTCGATTTAATGTGATGCTAATCTAATTGCTACATTGCAAATGAATGCTGCAAATAAAATAGCAAGCATCAAGCTGTACTTAGAATTTAAGCTGCGCGTGCAAAGTGGATGGAATGTCACCAGTCTGTGGTTGTTGGCGACGGCAATTTCAAATCGCCCATCTTCAACAGTGTTTCCACCCGGTAGCGCGCTGCTTCGCAATCGCTCGCAGCGTCGTGTCGCGTTACGAATTCATGCCGCCGTCGGCAGCGGCTACTGCAGGCGGCGCCCGTAGCACGGCGGTGGGACGGACGCATTGCGCCGGTCCGGGCGGGGCCGGGTCGCCGCTCCGGCTCCGATACATATCCTGTACACTAGACATGCGGCGCTCGTTCCCACTCAGTGTTCTAACTAGAGCCTTAGAGTGGGCCGCAGTGAGCTCTGTGTGAGCTTACTGCCGTAAAACAGCAGGTCAACAGTCAGGTCACCAGGGGTCATCCAACGGGACCGCTTTTGGTGGCGTAATCTTGGACGTTGTAGAGGCGCATTAACATTTCCATTAAAACATTGATGCTGATTTGTTCATGTTTACGATATGTTTCTTAGGGCATTGATAAGTCTGTTCCTATTAACGTCTCCGTTTCGAAAGCGGCCGTTCTCGAAACTGTGTGCATCTTACCTATGGAAGCCATACCTATTAAAACCCAAAGTGGATTTTGGCATCACATGTCCTCCCTTCGATTGACGTTCAAAACAAAGAAGTGATTGCGTCTATGTATGTTCAATGAGCACTGGAGATGAAGGTGCTGCATAAAGCATGTGTCATGCATGTTTCATTGCGTTCGCATTTTTATGCATGATTCATCCTCATAGCCACTGCAGGCTTTGATCCTGCCGACACGATATTGGTGCCAAAAATGCAGCGCATATAACAAACCCTCTCGTGGGTCTGTATCTGTTTCTCTCAAGTCTCTATTCAAATTCCTCAAAAACACGGTCTGGGCAGCGGAGCATATGCTCGCATAAGCACGATGCTCACCTACCCTCGGATAAACGCCACACGATGGCCGAGCTGCTGTTTTTAAGTTTATTCCTGAACTTGTCTTCAGCTCAGCCCAGAAAAGTTTGCGCAGCTCTCATCCAGCTGGATGCTGCGGTAACTTCAAAGTGGCTCAAATACCAAAGTTCGGTATATATGGGTGTTGTTGCGGCAACAGCATCGATTTATTGCTTATTTTGGAGTGAGGGATCCCCCGAAACACAAGAAAAAATCTGGCTGCAAGAGGTTACTTAGTTTCATTAAAATGCGTGAGATGCATCTTAAAATCAACAAAAATTCAAAAAAGATAAAGAAAGAAAGAAAAACAAGAAAGAGGAAACAAACGAAAATGGCGTAGGCAAACTTCGAAACAATTGAACACGAAACTATGAAATTGAAGTGCGAAAGCGATCGAACGATTACGAAAACGAAGCGAAAACGATCGAAGGAAGCGAAAGAAATTCGAACGAAGTGACGCCGATTCAAGCGATCGAGAATCGCTTCAGATAAATTCTATGTATAATTTGTGAGATGATCGCCAGTATAAATTAAGAGTTGAAATGTGTTTGGTGTTTGATTCGTATCGAACGCAACGCCATTTAGATCCTGTATGGCAATAACAGTTTCGAAGTGCCCATTTACGTGAACTAAAGATATTCACAGCAAGATTGCAAGTGACAAACTCCCAAGATTCAGAAGAGAATGATATTGTGATCAAACACGATTGCTTGATTTGCTACACTTTGTTTTACCGAGCCACAAGCGGCATCTTGTTGATTTTACTAAGCATATTAAGTTCACATGTATCAAGAATGCAATGATTTGTCTGGCTACCTATGGTCTGCACAGGAGGTAAGGTCTTGAAACGAGCACAAGAAGAAACCATTGTGAATTGACATTACGGCTACAGGCGTCCATATCCGATCAGACTGTGTTTCATCCTGTGCTTCGTCCCGTGGGTTGTCCAGAGGTGTTAATTATTAAGTCTACCTAAATTAATTGTGAAAATTTCGGTAGTAGGTATTATGGAGGGGCTGAAGGTTGCAGAACTTAAAACAATCTTAAGGTCTCGGGGCATAAGTTGTAAAGGCAATAAGGAAACACTTCTAAAACGATTATGCGACGCCTTAGAGATACGCACTTCTGCGTCTCAATCAGAGCATGTTGCAATTCAGCCAGATGATAGTGCATCCCAGATTAGATCTACTGTGTCAAATCGGTCCTCTAGTTGTAATTCAGCCAATTCTGAACTTAGGCGCGCAGAAGAAGCAGCTGATAGGGCTGCACTTGTTGAAAAAATGCGATCTTTGAGAGATAAACAATATATCGAGAGTAAAATAGCCGAACTTCGTCACGGGCAGGAATTATTAGAACTTCAGTCAACCATAAATGAGTTAGCTGCAAGGGAGCAGGCGTTTCAGGCTTATACGAGTCAAAATGGCGGCGTAAGCCCAGCACCAGCGAGCCAACCACATACACATACACAGTGCCCAATTCAACAGTCACACATAACGCAGACAGATAAGACCCTCGGCTCACAGCCTAGCCTCCATTTACCGCTGAACGAACGGCATCTAAAAAGTTCTCGAGATGATGTGCATTCTGAGCTGAAGGCAGAAAGAGAAAGAACGGCAGCATTGATGCGTCTTCCTCCTATAGAAATTAAGAAATTTGGCGGTGACATTACTCAGTTTGCACAATTTATTCGCAGTTTTGAGATGAAGATTGCGTCTAAGCTAGAAGACGACAGCGAAAAGTTGCATTATCTAGAACAAAATTTGGTCAGTGGAAGCAAACCGCACACTATCGTTGCCAGTTGTATGTATATTGAGGATGGCTATGAGCAGGCAATGCAAATTCTACGCAAACGTTATGGTCAACCGAGCACTATTGCAGCGGCGTTCATGGATAAAATTAATGACGAAGAACGGATGGAATTTGAAAATGGTGAAGATTTGGACAAATTTGCGCTTCTTCTGATGAGCTGTAAAAATGCATTGGGAAATGCATGCCATTTAATTAGTGATCCGCGAACGTTACGGAATATTACAGAAAAACTCCCCAGCTCACTTCTAAATAGATGGCGCAGGCGTGTTGATGATCTCGAAGAAATTCATGGGCGCTCCGCAGTTTTTGAAGACCTAGTCGAATTTGTCATGAAAGAGGCGAGAGTCGCTACAAACGCATCTTTTGGGCAGCACATGTACGATGGCAGTCGAGGAAACGGTAAGAAGCAAATTAATGGATCATTTTCTATGGTACAAAATCAAGAGTCACTAGTGTCAGCGACACAAGCACATGATTATTCGACATGTTTGTTTTGCGGGGACAACTCGCATTACCTCCCCGAGTGTGCTAAGCTGAAGGAAATGTCTACAGAAGAAAAGAAGTCATTTGTGATGAGAAACTCGCTTTGCTTTGGGTGTCTTCGCAGAGGTCACAGGCAAAATTTGTGCCGGAGACCGGCAAGATGTCGCACGTGCAATCGAAGTCATCCAACTGCTTTACACGAACACGATGGTCCAGGGAATCTGCGAGGCGTGCCGCCTCAAGAACAGCCGGGAACACAAGGCGAAGCTGATGGGGCTAAGGTCACTTCGTGTCGCATTTCAACGGGAAGTCAGAAGTGTGGAGCCATTTTACCCATTGTGGCTGTAAAGGCTAAGAGTGCATCAGGCCACTGCACAACGTTCGCCTTTCTCGATAGCGGGTCGACGCACTCATTCATATCCACGTCACTTATGCACAAGCTTAATTTAGGACATTTGCCCGGTCGCCAGCTGACACTGACGACAGTGGATCGGGCCGTTTCCGTACCGACTCAAGTAGTGGCTGGCCTGTCTATTACGGATTTGGAGGGCGAAAATCATCTGTCATTACCAGTACTATATACACTACCAAACTTACCAGTTGAAGCAGGCCAGTTTCCCAAAGCAGAAGATTTGGAGGAGTGGGATCATTTGCAGGATATCGTTTTACCCCAACCAGAAATTTCAGAAGTTGGTTTGCTGTTGGGTGCTAATGCGTTTTTGGCAATGGAGCCATTAAGGGTTATCCCAAGTGTCAATGGTAGCCCGTATGCGACGCTGACCAGATTCGGATGGGTAATATGTGGTTTGAATCAGACGGCAGGCCCACCTGACGTTACAACGGTTTGCAAGACAACTGTCACTGAAGGTGAATCTCTGGAAGAAATGAGCAAGTCATCAAACAACCATAAATACGCGGAACATTTGCATTGCACGAAAAGAGAGTTGTCCGCCGCAGATCGTTTGTGGATGAGGAAGGTGGAAAGTTCTGTTGCGTACAAAGGTGGTCAGTACAACGTCCCTCTGCACTTAACGGACGATCATGTCAAATTACCGAACATTCTTTATTTTGTGATTTTAGTGATTTTATTTTGTACAATTGTATCTTGCGTTGGAGAACGATTACAGAATGCTGACCTTGCTTATAACGCGAAACATCGCATCATAATGTTGTCCCATGAGAAGAACACAGAGATGCTCATGCTCATGCAAGACGTGCACAAAAGGCTGGGACACGCTGGACGGCAACACGTTTTGGCTGATGTGCAAGATGTAATGTGGTTCTTGGAAAGAAATGCCACGGTACGAAGGGGTTTGAGCACGTGTTTGTTTTGCAAGCGAAGATATCATTCGTCTTTGGGAAGACCTTTAGAAGGCATGACAACCAGCACATCAATGAAAAACGAGACTTTGGTGACTTTCATGTGCAAAGTTGAGGCAATTATAAACAGCAGACCACTGACACCAGTTTCCACTGATCACCTTGACACTGAGCCACTTTCTCCAAACCTCCTGCTACTCGCTGGTGCAGGGTACGACCTCGTTCCCGTCAATCTTTTTGACAAAACAGACAGCAACAGTCGTAAGAGATGGAAGCAGGCAGCTTATTACGCGGATATGTTTTGGAAACGCTGGCGGGCCGAATATTTGCCATTGCTCCAGGCTAGGCCACACCATTTAAGTAGAGCTAATCCAAATTTAGGTGTGGGCGATATTGTGGTAGTGGTTGACGAAAGTGTCCCACGAGGTCAATGGCCATTGGGTCGAGTACTTAGGGTGAAACACAGCGCTGATGGATTGGTTCGCTCTGTGGAACTGCAAGTCCGGGGCACAACGCTGCAGCGCCCAGTGACGAAGATTGTGAAACTGAACTGACAGTATATGACAAGGTTGAAACCTCAGGGACAGAGGTTTCAAGGGGAGGGTGTTGTTGCGGCAACAGCATCGATTTATTGCTTATTTTGGAGTGAGGGATCCCCCGAAACACAAGAAAAAATCTGGCTGCAAGAGGTTACTTAGTTTCATTAAAATGCGTGAGATGCATCTTAAAATCAACAAAAATTCAAAAAAGATAAAGAAAGAAAGAAAAACAAGAAAGAGGAAACAAACGAAAATGGCGTAGGCAAACTTCGAAACAATTGAACACGAAACTATGAAATTGAAGTGCGAAAGCGATCGAACGATTACGAAAACGAAGCGAAAACGATCGAAGGAAGCGAAAGAAATTCGAACGAAGTGACGCCGATTCAAGCGATCGAGAATCGCTTCAGATGAATTCTATGTATAATTTGTGAGATGATCGCCAGTATAAATTAAGAGTTGAAATGTGTTTGGTGTTTGATTCGTATCGAACGCAACGCCATTTAGATCCTGTATGGCAATAACACGTCAAAATCCCGCCCAACAATCGCTCGACCCATGGCCCAGTCCAGCACGTTCAACACAGCCAGCCGGACCCCGCCCAGGTCCGGCCCTATAGCCAGCCCACAGCCTGAGTCCCTCCGTCCCAGCCAAGCAAAGCGCGGAGCCGGGTGGTTGCGGAGGCCACATTCCGTCACCTGATGGGATCAGCGCGGCGGCGGCACAGAGCGCACTCGACCGGCACCAGATTAGGAGCCGAGGCGACAGAGCAGACCTGCCGGGCCGGGACGGGTCCGGCCGCGCCGCGCTCCACCTGCAGAGGCGTCCACCGGTCCACACACCGGTCCACACACCGGTCCACACACCGGTCCACACACCAGTCCACACACCAGTCCTCCGCGCTAATGAAGGGCCAAAGCGGGCGGCTCGACGGTGAGCGAGGATCAGTCAGGGAGGGAGAGCGCGCGCATGACCGGCCCCAGCTATCAGGTCCTGACAGTCTCCATCAGTCACGTACGCACACGCGGGCGCGCACGTCCGTGTGAACCGGGAAGTGCTGTCCAAACAGGCGATAGTAGGGCGCGCCGGCGGAGCGCCATATCTCGAGCAGCAGTCACGACACACAGCAGCCGGCCGGACAAACAGCAGCGGGGGAGTCGTTACATCACCGGAGCCGCGCGGGGGCTCCGGAGAAACTGGCGGCCGCTCTGCGGGCGGCGCGGCGTGACCACGACCGCGCCGCGCCGTGCTGGCCGTGCCGGGCCGGTCCGGACCAGCACGGCCGCCGCGCCGCGCCGGTCCGGTCGTCGCGCGGCCGGTGTCACCGTCGCCACGGCCGCCACCGCTGGCGCCGCCTGCCGGCAGCAGATAGCCATCTGCGGCCCCGGCGCGACAACGGGGCGACGGCGACGGCGGCGCGGCTGCCTGTCGCCTGCCGAGGTCGTCCAGTGGGGGCCGGGCCGGGCCGGGCCAGGCCGGGCGCGCCGGCAGGCGACACGGCACGGCACCCCGTCCGGCCCGCGCGCCGCCGCCGCGCCGCCCGGGGTGTGAGCGAGGTCGCCGGGAGCCGCCGCCGAGGGCAGCGGAGAGAAGCAGGGAGGCCGCTAAATATCATTGAAGAGGTCAAAGTTGGTGTAGCTAGACACTATTTTTTATAGTTCTAGAGCCTGCGAAGAGTCAACGACGTGCTGATGAGATGACTCAGCGTACGGTTGCCGGAGGTAGGGGTGACAGTCGTCAGTTAGATCGCCTTTGCAAAAAAGGACTTCTATTGCCAGCTTGCCAAACACCTGCGACCTATTTTCAAACGCACCACCATTGCAACCAGAGGGGAGAGAAAATGTTGTATGGTACAGATCAGATGCGATCACACAGGACAGGAAGAACGCTCCACTATGAGGACCACGTTATCCACAGGACAGAAGGGAAGTGGCTAATATAAATAAGAAATGGCGAAGGTAAGCGGCTCCTCGAAGTTTTACCATGGTCTGCCATGTAAAAGACCGCGTACGTGTAAAACTGAACACCATCCGCTCCCCCAGATCCTGAGGAGGGCTGAGATTTGCCAGGTCATCCAGCAGTTCTTCTAGCTGTTTAACGTCTACCAGGTCACCCATCAGTTCCCCTAGCTGCCTGAGATCTACCAGGTCATCACCGGAGCCCCAGAAATCTGCCAAGAGTCAGAACACCCATGATAGTTCCCCTAGCCGTCTGAGGTCCACTAGGTCCCCAGAAGAGTAGCGTTCTGCCAGGTCTGCCATCGTGACTGTCACTGTAAATGGGCTGCAAGGCCTGTAGTCGGCTATTACAAATACAAGAATACAAGAGTACCAGAATACAAGGTCACCCAACAGATCTCTGGTTGTCTGAGGTCTGCCAGGTCACCCAGTGGGCCTCTCGCTGTCTGAGGTCTGCCAGGTCACTCAGCAGGTCACCCAGCAGGCCTCATGGCTGTCTGAGGTCCGCCAGGTCACTCAACAGGCCTCTGGCTGTCTAAGGTCTGTCAGGTCATCTAGCGGGCCTCTAGCTGTCTGAGGTCTGCCAGGTCACCTAGCGGGCCTCTGGCTGTCTGAGGTCTGCCAGGTCACCTATGCGGGCCTCATGGCTGTCTGAGGTCTGCCAGGTCACCTAGCAGAGTTCCGGAGGTCTGCCAGGCCTCTCAGCGGGCCTCTGGCTGTCTGAGGTCTGCCAGGTCACCCAGCGGGCCTCTGCGCGGGCGGCTGGGCTGTCGCCACTCGACAGGACCCCATCGGCTGGCGCTGCAGTGCCGGCGCGCGGCTGTCACACTCTGTTTATGACACCCAGCGCGGCGCGAGCGCTGTCTTCGCGGCAAACACGTCACAGACATTTCAAACACCAGAAAATATCGCTTCCGAGCGCCTCTCTGGCCAGGAATATCCCGAGCCCTGGCGCCGCCGAGATGGTGCAAATGTGGACCAGAAGGCTGCTGGTAATGCGGCTTGAAATATTCCGGGTAAAGAAAAGTGCATATTGAAGGCTCCATCAGAAGAGCTGATGAAATGCGACGCATGTTTGGTCGTCATTTGACAACAATTTTCAGTTGCTGAAGAACATACCAATTTTTGAATAAAAGGCTTACCTACCTACAGTGAAGCACATCTATTTCCTGGAAAATGAAGACGCAAGCCTTTCCTGATGTTCCCAGAAACCTGATCGATTTCCGCTAAAGCAACGCAATTGAAACATTCCAGGGGCCGGGCCAACGATGTCGTCAGCGACTGCCCGGGGCCTCTCCCGCGCAGTCCCGCCGCAATTCGGTCTTCCATGCACACAACGTAGTGTCATTGGCCCGACCGGTGCGTTTGTGCTGCGTCTGCCCACAGTGCACGGGTGAACCCCAGGTGGCCGCCACGGCAGCCGCCGGCGGCACTGACTCCGTGTGATTCAGCACTACCGTACGAGTGCGCGAGAGAGCGCGCTGAGAGAGCGACGCCCGCCGGACAGCCGCTCGCCCCGGCCGTCCAGAGGCCACGCTGTGTGCAGATGGCGGGGCCGGCCAGACCAGAGAGAGAGACACAGGGCGTCTGAGACAACACACTCGGCCGTCTGAGGCAACACACTCGGCCGTCATTTACATATGAGCACCGGCCGTGTGCACTCCGAACGACTCCACAACGAGTCTGGTGGATGGCTCCCGAGAACTCTTTGACGTCATGTTCCTTACTTAGGCATGTCAGAATAAACATGGGCCATTCTTCAAGTGTGAACGGCGAACGGATGACGCCTTGTCACTGTGATGCATTGCATTAGCTTCGCACTCATGCATTACTGAGGGTCATCGTTCATTTCCTTATTAAGTGAGCAAATAGCGCTACGTGCCACGCCCCCATTGCTGCTTGGTAAGTGGGTGGCGTTCTGCATCCCGCCCAGTTGACGTGAGTTATATCGTTTAGCAGACTCCATTGGGCTCTTGGTGCTCTCTCAATCGTTCGCATGTTAGCTGTGGTAGCTGCATACAGACGAAAACGACAATGAAAAGGCGAGTAAATGAAGTGGCGACACAAAACAACTGGCAGAAATGACTCGCTGATCGGATAAGGGTAAGGGTAAGAATGAACCTAAAACGGGGTAGGAATTTGAATGGATGACATGCCATCAGGGATGCGGAGCCGTGGAAATTTCAAACGGCTCCGGCTCCGGCTCCGGCTCCGGAGAAAAAAATCGGCTCCGGCTCCGGTTCCGGCTCCGGGTGAAATGTTATGGCGGCTCCGGCTCCGGCTCCGGCTCCGAGTAAAATGGTCCGGCTCCGGCGGCTCCGGCTCCGACTCAGTACATCCCCTATGCAATCAATTAAATACGGGTGGAAGAAAAATTTGATTGGTTATACGCGTTACCTACTCTTGCCATGACCGGCTCACCGCGTCCCCGCGCAAACGCACCTCGGAGAGAACTGGCAGAACAAAGGACTAGGAAGCGATGGCATTGGAAACGCAGTCGCCGCGAATCGGAGTTCACTGAACCATCGTAAGCTGACACCCATCTCGGCTGCATTGGGGGGTGGGGGTGGGGGGGGGGTGGGAAGAGACGGTGCTGGGAGTCGCAGTCCACTGCACTGGCTTCAAAACAATGGCCGTCACCTGATGACCGGTCCTCATGTTCTGGGGATGCAGTAGACGTGAGGGGGGGGGAGGAGCAGACAGGAAGTTGATTGCGTACTGTGGGATACTGGGGATATTCGGCTTTTTCATTCACTTGATGGCCCATGACGTACTATTGGTCTCAAGATAAGGGCCCAGGCGACCTGTAGTTTTGATGCGAATACCCTTACCCTCGCCACAACTCGGGCCGAGTGCACCCCTCCTCCCAGCCAGCGCCACCCCCACTCGCATTGTGGCGAGGGTGAGGGTATTCACCGCATCAAAACTACAGGCCGCCTGGGCACTTATATTGAGACCAATAGTACGATATGTTTTACTGCCTTGTACTGTCAAACCGAACTAGGTCAATTAGGTATTTTTTTCCTCTTCAAAAAATAAAAAGGAGCCGGAGTCGCCCCCTTTTTTGGCGGCTCCGGCTCCGGCTCCGGCTCCGGGCTATATTGTTTCACGGCTCCGGCTCCGGCTCCGGCTCCGGGCAAAATATGCCGGCTCCGGCGGCTCCGGCTCCGACTCCGGCTCCGGCTCCGCATCCCTGCATGCCATGATTACCGAGTCAAGTCACAGCTGCTCTGCCATCCCTGCGCCCGGAACAGCGGAGGGTCAGAGGTGTGTGTGGCAGGGTGACATGGCAGTGCTACTGGCGGGACAGCAGGACCACCACAGGGCTGTCCTAGCGCTGCCAACGCCCGTCCTCGCCGCCACCAGCGAACAGGCTTGCCCTGTCGCGCCACTTTTGTGCGGCGTCGGCCGGTTCCTGGTCGACTGCCCCATCGCGTGAGGTGACAAAACTGGAGCGGCGGCGCGGCGGCGGACCTCAGAGGCGCCGCTGTCACGGCCGCAGTCCGGTGAC